ACTATGCAATGAGTTAACAATTGACAAAATGATATGGAGTATTCATAGACAATCCTGTTGCATACAAACAAAATGAGAACATAACAGTTATTTACATTTTAAAGGCAAACCTGTCAGTTTTAAACTAGTCTGCTATAAACTAATCATATCGTGAAAATTTTCCCGACCGAAGCTGCTACCTTGACGTGGTGGTCAGGTTTGCCTATCGTGATGATCCAACCGAGCTATATTGGCTGGAACTTATGTTCCTGAAGGTTCTACCATGCTAGGCAGGTCAATTGGAGAGCGATGAGACTAAAAGCAGCTACCCAAGGTCTGAGAGCGAAGTCGTACTGTTGACTGTGATGGAGGGGTGTGACAGCAGTAAGGTGTTTCCTTCGGAAAACCAGCATCTGCAGCGATGCTGCCTTCTCACAAAGAAGGAAGGGCTAGAAAAGGTCGACCCTAAAAATGTCACACCTCACCCTACCTCACGGATTTCCGTCTCCGTTGGTAACGGTGCCCACTAAGGGCTTTCAAGAGCAGAGCTGATACTCAAAAAACATTTCATAAAAAGGCCGTGCGTAACCGGCCTCAAGCAGTTGTCCCTTGGGCTCTGCGGTCACGCACCCAGGTCTCCAAGACCAACACTAATCTATCTTCCTTTTCAGGTTCCTCAAGAAACAACCTTCCACAGTGTGGGCAGCCGGGAAGTGACAACCGCCCTGATACCCGTATCAGCACGCGAGACCAAACTGGTCAAAATCAAATCCTTCCTACACCCCCTAGTACCTCTCTTATCTCCACGACTAAGTAAGCAATGGTATCGTTAGGAAACGAGTTCTAGGTAACGATGGCAAATCAATAGATGAAGTATTGAAACTTCATCAGTTGAGGTGGTTGGGACATGTGTTACGTAGAGCTAACCACCGACTGCCTCGACGAGCTATGTTTTGTGGTGTGGGAGTAGGTTGGAAGAAAGCTAGGGGCGGCCAGACCAAAATATGGCACAAATCGATGAAGTCACTGACAAGTGAACTGAGTCATGTTGGTAGATGTAGACTACTTGGTTGGGGTCCGCGAGACGAAAGTCACCAATGGTTAGAGACCTTGAACGACATAGCTCAAAATCGTTTGAAATGGCGCAAGTGCATCCATTCGTTGTGCTCTCTCAAATCCTAATCTTCTGGAATCGTCAGAACCTCTACTTTCTTTGTCTTTCTAACCTTATCTCACTGAATTATACTTCTTGAATAATATCTTCAAACCCTAGTCTTCTTCATCACCATTAATACGTCTACTATTTTTATCACTATGGGATTTGATTTGACATCTGCGTCTCTGTGCTGTGGTATGGCAACATGAACTTATGTACATACGTACGACGTTTTACGTTGCAACTGACTGATCGTGAAGATTTAGATAAGTGTATATTCATTTATACGACTGAACCGTTAAAGAGTTGTCTCGAGAAACGATGGTTTTCAGTCTCGATCCTATGACTACGTGGTGTGTACTCTTATGACTTGTCCTAGCCTCTTGACAAACTAATCACTCCATTCATCGCTGAATAATTATTCACAGATCTTTTGATCTTGTTAATTTTCCCTCTTATAACCATGGTTGCTTTTACTTGAGTGAGCTTATGAGCTGCTTACTGTGCTTATCAAATGTCTACCTCATTTAGTCAGGCAGCATCAAAGGGAGTTGGTCCATTCACCTTCTCTTCACTTTTACGTTCCTCGTTTTTATATCTGTTTGTATACGCAAGTGTATGAAATAGATTCATTCAACTACAAAACTTTATTTGGTTTCTCATTACCTTCGTCGAGCAAACGGAATTAGCCTGAACCTAATACACGGTAAATATTCGATATGATGTTTGTGTAGAAGGTGTCAACATAATACGGAATTCTTATGATGGATTAAACTGTAAAATCGTGAATGGAGTATGGCTTACAAACTCATTGCAAATGAAAAAAAGGTGTCAGATAAAGTTGTTTACTCTCATTCTTCCTGTTTCTTTTAGGTTATGTAAACCTCAACGGCATGGACTACAGTGAAAAGCTCGGATGCAGCTGGACGATTTGAACTTTGCAGATGATCTAGCCTTTCCGCACTACACACAACAAACACAGGGGAAGACAGCCAGTGTGGCAACAGCCTCTTTAGCGGTAGGTCTTAACATACACAAGGAATAAAGCAAGATCCTCCGATACAAAACAGGATACATCAACCAAATCGCACTTGATGGAGAAGCTTTGAAAACCTTTATATATCCAGGCAGCATCATTGATGAACAAGCTGGATTTGATGCAGAAGTGAAGGTGCAGATTGGCAGAGCAAGGATAGCATTTCTGCAATTGAAGAACATCTGCAACGAAAAGCAACTTTCTGTCAACCAACAACAAAGCCAGAATTTTTCAGTACAGACGTCAAGGAAGTTTTATTGTATAAAGAGGAAAGTTGGAGAACTTCAAAAGCCATCATCCAAAAGATAAAAGTGTTTATTAACAGTTGTCTACTCCAGATAATGAGGATCGATTTGTCAGACACCGTCAGTAGCAACCTACTATGTCAGAGGACGAACAAGCTTCTAAATGGGGGAAGAAACTAGGTAAAAATACTCGAGGTGGATAGGTCAAGCTCTAACTTGAAACACTTAAGGCAAAAAGGTAAACTGAAGGACACACTGAGCCGAGAATAGGAAGCAAACATGAAAAGAATGAACAGCAGTTGGGTGGAACTTGAAAGGAAGGTCCAAGATAGAATAGGTTGAAGGTTGCTGGTCGATGGCCTATGCTGCACTGGGGGTAACAGGCGTAAGTAAGTTAGTAGGCAGATGTTGCTGCACTCGATCCAACTATAAAGCGAAACCATTCAGAATCACTTTACAATTCTTGAATACACGAACGGAAACCTCCTAGTTTTTGAATAGGTTTGTCAAAGATACAGTGATATAAAGAAATACAACTTTTAAAGCCACCCAATATACATTGAGTGAATTAACTTGGAATCATAAACATGGCCGTCCACTCAAATCAGTAAAATATCTGAGTTCATTTCTGAATAAGGCTTAGAAACTCAAATACTCTCCTTGTGTAAAATGTAGTTGAAATGTCTCTCTCTCTCTGTAATTCACAGTGTTCTAAAACTCATGACTGTTTCTGAATGTTAGACAACTGTAGTTTTACAATTACAGTTTCTATTTATTTTCAGAACATTATAAGAGCTTCAGGAGATGTTTTGGAATCGTATACTGTCATCATCGTATTCACAAACATACTTGGTTGTAATGATCAAGTCTTACATCGGTTTGAAAGCCTCTTACGAATCAACATCCTCGATTAACATCATTTGCACAGTCTCATAAGAGATTAAGTGATAGTAGGTAACTTATTTATACAAACTTTAACCTGTAGTCCTCCATTATACATCGGTTTTCAGTAAGAAACTTTGTGACAAGTTCTTTACACCATGGAAATGCGAAAAACTCCTTTTCTTCTTGATAAGGTTTTGTGTTTTATCAAAGTAAGACTTATTGCTACATAGCATCCCGACCAATTGTCTAGTATTGTGCAGATTATTAGTACAAGGGGGCACAGAGATAGAAAACCCACCACTTTGGAAGTTAACCAGGAAAATACATCCTCCTAGTTGGAATTTTGAACACATACTCACTAAATTAAGCTATTCGTCATGTTACAATATAGAACTTCGTACGGATACGTAGATTAGTTGAGGTTACCATACCCCAATTAGCACAGAAAGAAGGGAATGTCCACTTATATACCATAGTATTACAGGTTTTAGTAGTAATAGTTGTAAGCGAAGATATGATTCGAGGAAGCATAACCCAATGAAATAAAATTAAGAAGCTCTTAAGGAGACCCGAAGATTAGAATTTGACAGAAGATAAAGAATGAATGCATCTGTGCCACTGCAGTCTCTAAACGTTGGCTACTATTGTCTCGCTGACCCCAACCTCAGAGTCTATATGACTCAGTCAAGTTGTCAGTGATTTCAAAGGTTTATGCCATGTTCTGGTTTAGCCACCTCTAGCTCTCTTCTAGCCAAAACCGCCCATTAAAGCATTCAGTGGTGAGGCATACGTCCTAATTAAGCTATGACAGTTACCCAACAGCTCAAAGATGTTAATGAGACTATGTCAAATGCAGTTCATATACCTGCCAAGCTTTCAGTTATGCATGGTTGTTAACACACACGTCTATTTTAACTTTCTTCGAACCATGACGATGAAGATGAATTGATTCTTCTTCACGACGTGCTAATTACACACAATCTGATGACTTTATCGATGATTGCAAATCCTGAAACACCTTCATAGATTAAGAGAGGCAGCCCAACTAACATTCTAGAATCTCATCTATCTTACTTTTACCATAATCTCAGTTAGAACAAAACCATCGAGAATAGACAGGTTAAGAAAGAACAAGATTACCGTATGGTGAATCAGTTACAACGAAGAACCTCGTGCATATGTACATTAGTAGCTGCTAACTAGACGTGATGGGTTGAGCTTGCCTATCATGACGACCCAACTGAGCTACATTGACTAGAACATGTGTTCCTGTAGGTTCTACCATGCTAGGCAGGTCAGTTGGAGAACGGTGAAACTAAAAGCAGTAACTTAATGTCTGAAGGCAAAGTCGTACTGCTGACTGTAAAGGTGTATAACAGAAGTAAGATGTTTCTCTTGGACAACCAGCATCTACAGCAATGTCGCCTCCCCACACCTCACGGATTTCCGTCTCTAACAGTACGGCCATTTGATGAAGAGCTAAGCTAACACGTTAAAAACTTCCGTGTATGACCGGCTACAAGCATTTGTCCCTTGAACTCTGTGGTTATACTGTCAAGTTGCTTAAACCAACTTCCTTGCGCAGAAATACCCTTTCACAATGTAGGCAGCTAGCTAGCTGAGAAATGACATCCACCTTCAAACTCATAACAACATACCAGATCAAATCATTCATAACAATATAAAAAAAAAGTCATACAAATAAATAATATAACTGTACTATTAATAGAAATTACAATACAATACGATAACAGTCATTTTAATGAACAATAATTAATATATACGTTTGTATACATATATATATGTCAAAAATCTTAAATCACACAATTTAATAAACAACTTCAAATATGTTAAGAATGATGTGTTGTACATTCAATGCGATGAATGATACAAAAATAGACAATAAAACCAAATAGAATGTATACAAAATTGTGTTGTTTATGTTCGATAAGAAGATTCGGAAATTGTAAGAAGCACAGGAAAGATAGATAGATTGAGAGAGAGTGAGAAACAAGAGAGAGATTAGAACACATTGTATATATATATATATAAATGCAATAAACCTGTACAACTGAGTTATATCAATAATAGTCATAATAATAATAATAGTATCGGTCATAGAAAAAACCCAAAAACAGAAACAACTCCCCTCCCAAAAAACAACAACATCTTCTAATCTGATTGGATTGTATATCTCACGTATCTGGCATGTTCACTCTTCTTCACCTTCATCTGGTTCACCATCATCTTCATCTTCTAATTCTGCACCATTCTCATCTCCTCCTCCACCAGCACCAGCACCACCACCTACGCCACCACTTGTGACAGTTGTACAATCTGGATTCTGTGTATCCGACGTCCTGAGTGTTGTAGAATTGGAGACAGCACCAGCAAGTTTCTTTTCTCTTGGAACATAAGTTCCTGCACGATATTTTATCATATCCTTTAATGAAATGATGTTGAATTTAGTTTCAAAAAAATATAATTATTTTTAAATCAATATAAACAATCAATAAATTGGAATCGTTCAAAATTAAAACTCAATGACTCACCTCTTCATAACGTTGTTTATCTTTTTGGGCTAATAATTCATATTTAGCTTTATCTTGACATGTTTCCCATTGACGTCCAAGTTCTTTAGCAATATCAGCAACTTTCCAATCGGGATTATTTTCTCGAACTTTTGCACGAAATTCATCACAAAAGAAAAAAAATGCTGACCATGCTCTTGCTGGTACCATTGGATCTTTAGGACCTTTACGTTTTTTGCCTTTTTTCATACCATCCGGTGGAACATAATCACACATTTCACGATTGAATCGTTCTCTATCTAATACAGCTAAATCTTCAAAACGTTTCTTTTCTTTTGGTGTCATTAACTAGAAGATTTTTTTTAGGGAGAAAATAAAACTAACTAACTTACCTTCCATCGTTCAGCGCATTTTTTAGAAAAATCACTAAATACAATTTGTTCACCAGGATGTTTCTTTTTGTGTTCTTCACGAATCACTTGAACAAAACAAGCATATGCAGACATTGGACCTTTCGGTTTATTCTTATCTTTTGTTTTATTCATGATTTAAGAAGAAGAAGAAGATCTGGAAAAATAAGAAAAAAAAAAATAAGAAGTTAATATTATTGTCAATCAGAAATCGATTATTGGCATTGCGTATTGCATCGTAAAAATAATATTATATATATAGACGGCATATACAAGTTACAAATGGATAGTGTGTAATGTGAATAAGTTGAATGCTTGCTTACCAGTTAAAACACAACAATGACAATAACAAAGGGAGCTAAGACTACTACTTACTAACTACTGCTATTAGTTTACAATATAGCAGTTGATTATAATGGCAATATGAAATTCTCTATATAGAGAGAATAGTGATTTAGACAGGGAAGGCTTAATGACTTACTGTATGGTATATACCGAATTGCTATTAAGGCCTTAAGCAGTCCGTTTGTAATCAATCTAACATAGGCAGGTCAAGCAATGAAATTAGCCAATCAACATTAAAGTTTCATAGTAATGTAGTTGCGTTACAATTTAAAAAAAATAAACTAAATTTGAATGATGAACTAACATTTTTGTATTAACAGAATAGTTTGTAAAGAGTCAGTTTGTATTAAAAGATTATTGTTTGTTTGAATGTTTATCAAAATTGGCAAAAATTCGGTTCAAGTTTATTGGCGCAAAATTGTGAATAGTTTTCAGGTTTTAGTTTGTTTTCGATTAAATAATCCATTCCAATGCCTGAAAACCTTTCCAATCAACTTTCAAAACTGTTTTATCCCATAAACGAACGTGTTGGTGTATCACTTGGTGTTACGTCTGGTAACCAAAGCAAGCACAAACGTAAACATTTAGTTTTTACAAGTAAATATTGCAAATTAATAACATTGGTTTAGTTTCATTAACAAAACCTACAAGCATTCAAGTCTATCTGGTCAAAATTACGGATAAAAATGAAATTAAAAAGGTTCAAGTATGCAACGCGAAAAATCTTAAAAAAATCGACTGCAGAGATACTAAGACTCAGCCGAGCTATGAATTACAGATTATAACAGAAAATAAGGTTAGTACTTATCATGCTATTAGCTCATTTTAAAAATAACTGCTCCCTATTTTGACCTGATTTTCTTTGTCGTAACGAGCAAAAACTGCAACTTATGAGTTTATTGTAATAATATTCCCTTAAAGTTCTCACTAACGTATCCTAGTTCAACTCTCATCAACCCTGTATTGAATCAGGACATTTCGTCAGTAATTTTTCGGAAATCTTAGTACTTTAAGTGCTCATATCAACGAAGTCTACTGTTGTTTTATGCGCTTGAGAATTACTATCAGTACTTCTGGACACATTTATTAGTTATTTTCGCTTCATTCATAACCTAGCATCACAACCAGCATCTGCAGCAATGGTGCCTTCTTACAAATAAGGAAGGGGTTAGAAAAGGTCAGCCGTACAAATCTCATACCTCATCTTACCCCACGGATTTCTGTCTCCGGCGGTAAAGCCATTTGAAGCACTAAGTTAACACTTCAAAAACATCCCATAAAAGGTCCTATGATCGGCCCCAAGCATTTTTGCCTTTGTCTATGTGGTCTCTCTACCTGGCTGTTAAGATCAACACTAATATAACTTACTCTAGGTTCCTGAAGCAGAAATGCCCTTCCAAGATGTTGGCAGCTGGGAAATGACATCTGTCCTCATACTCCTACCAGCACACAAGACCAAATTAGTCATATTAAAATCTTTTCTATTCATCTGAATAACTCTCTTGTCTTCAAGACTAACCCTCCTTGTATACTTTTATTATCTCGTATCGCTAATGCTAACAATACATGTCTTTAGCATCTTAGTCGATAGAGATTTATTACTTCATCAACCGGCTTTTAATCCCTATTTAATACTATTTGTGTAACATGAGAATTGTTAACTCTATCCTATTAGCTTGAACAAGTAATATTCCAAAAGTTTCTGTAATTGGATACTAGTAGTGTATAAATATTCTATATTTTTACAGGTCATATTTCATAGGCATAAAGAGAAATAAAGTAGACTTCTACACAGTAAACTCGTCCTTAATTAACAAACAACTGTCTCTCATAATCTGCAAGTGATCTAAGTTAGCAAGAGTTAACATAGATTCCTGAATTTGTTCCGTTTCGTTTGATACTAACCCACCAGTAGTGATTATTTGTCGTGGATAAGTGAAGCGATCGATACACTCGGTTACTCTTTTCCTTATCTTTGGTTCAGGTGTCAATATATTCCAGTGTTTAAACAACATTTTATATTTAGATGGAAAGGAATGCATTCTAAACATGCTTACATCGTTGATTAAGGCTGTCAGAAGACTCAGGTGAGTAATGCTGACTTAAGATCTATTATACTAAGTTGAAACAGGAAATCGATTGTCGGGGCAACAAAAAAACGCACGCACCTGCTGATGCTACTAAAATATCTGTTCCTTATTACTAGCCACATTCTTTACCCCATTAAGGCAGTTGTAATTTGAAACAGTTGATAATCAGTAGGTTGAACTCCTTTCAGTTAGAGAGAGACACCTATCACACATTCTTCCAAATAGTCAACAGAGAGATACAACGCAGAACTTCGTACGTAAGTACATCAGTTCAGGTTGCCATACCGGATTAGCACAGAGACACAACTATCAGTTCAAATCCAAGAGTGATAGCGATAGTAGAAGTATTATCAGTAATGGAGAGGATTAGGGAGCGAAGAAGTTATTCCAGAAGTATAATTCAGTGAGATGAATTTAGTAGGAGAAAGATCGAGATTATGAGGAATTCAGAAGGTTAGAATTTGAGAGAACACAAACAGTGAATGCATTTGCACTATTGCAAACGATTTTGAGCCATGTGGTTCAAGGTCTCTAACCATCGGTGACTATCGTCTCGCGGACCCCAACCAAGTAGCCTACATCTACCAACATGACAGTCCACTTGTCAGTGACTTCATGCATTTCTGCCATGTTTTGGTTTGGCCGCCCCTAATTTTTTTCCAACCTACTCCTACACCACAAAACATAGCTTGTTGAGGCAGTCGGTGGTTAGGTAGGTAACTGCTTTCACTCGACAAGGTTGAAATCCACTGGTCATAGCTTCTCACTAGGACTCTGAGAATTACCTCATGTAGCTACTAGTCCCAAGTGATTGATTCGGCATTAGAGTATTATGATGGTGGTATTTTTCACCTTGAAAATTCATGAAATCATGTCACATAAACTACTTAATTTCATCCAATTTCTCTTCATATTTTTTTCTATTCATTTTAGATATGGGTATTTAATGCTTCCAAATTAGAAGAAAAACGACATTTTATTAGTGCATTATGTCGTACATTGGCAACTTTATTACCACATATTATTAATGATATAGAATTAGTGAATTTTCCGCAAGATTTAAATATTTCACCACTTCATCAAAATGAATCATTGGATGTTTTACTTAGTAAGTAAGCTTTAATATTAAATTTAATTATTATTTCCTTATTATTTCCTTACTTACTGACTTATGCCAGTTACCCCGTCACTGGAGCATAAGCTCGCTGGACAGTATTCTCAAAACTATTCTGTAACTGGGTCTTCCTATCCAGTGATAGGGAGTGAAGTAGTCGAACGTGTAGACCGCTTCATGTATCCTGAGAGTCTCATCAGTGTTGATGGCCTGATGAATGACGAAATCTCGGCACGGATACAGAAGGCTCGATTGGCTTTTGCCAACCTGCTTCACTTATGGCGAAGGCGAGATAACCGTTTGCTGACTAAAAGATGAGTGTACTGCGCAGTAGTTCGCTCCGTCTTACTTTATGGCTGTGAAACATGGCCAGTGAGAGTAGAAGATATTCGAAGGTTACTAGTATTCGATTATAGGTGTCTTCGAAGCATTGCTCGTATATCCTAGGACTGCCGAATGAGCAACGCTGTTATTAGGAATCGGGTGCTAGGTAAGAATGTCAGATCAATAGATGAAGTGGTGAAACTTCATCAGTTGAGGTGGTTGGGACACGTGTTGCGTATGCCTAACCATCGACTGCCTTGTCGAGCTTTGTTTTGTGGTGTAGGAGTAGGTTGGAAGAAAGTTAGGGGCGGCCAGACCAAAACATGGCAGAAATCCATGAAGTCATTGACGAGTGGACTTAGCCATGTTGGTAATTGTCGACTACCTGGTTGTGGTCCGCTAGATGATAATAATCGATGGTTAGAAACCCTGAATGACATGGTTCAAAACCGTTTGCAATGGCGCCGGTGCATTTATTCTTTGTGTTCTCTCAAATCCTAATCTTCTGGATTCTTCAACCCCTCTAGTTTTGACTTTCTAAACTTTGCTCACTGAATCATATTTCTTGAATATCTTCTAATCCTCTTCTACTATTGGATTTGAATTGACAATAGCGTCTCAGTGCTGATGTGGTGTGGCAACATGAACTGATGTGCTTATGTACGAAGTTCTACGTTGCATCCGACTGACTGACTGAAATAATCATATGTGTTAAGCTCAACTGTCATCGAACTACTAGTCACTCACTACCTACTGTAGGTAAGGATATGTTGTTCAAGATATCGGAAGAATGGAGGATGAATGTTCTGCGCTTTTATCATGTTGATAGGTATGGATGAACCACTTAGCCTAGTTGGAAAACCCTGATTTCAAACTACTGATGCACATAAGGTCCAGGATTCAGATAAGACTAATGAGGCATGAACGTATTATTGGTGACCGGCTATCATGAGACTGCATATCCTGACGTTGCTCTACTGACGCATAGATTAGACTTGTAGGTCAGTTAGTCAGCCGGTCAGTCGGCTACATCGTAGAACTTCATGCGTACGTACCTCAGTTCAAGTTTCCATCACCACATCAACGCAGCGAACTGGAATCGTTAGTTTAAACCCCATCGTGGTAGATGTAGTAGACGCATTAGCGGTAATCGAGATTTAAACTTCGAATATATGATTCAAGAAGTACAATCCAGTGAAGATTAGAATTTGAGAGAGCACAAAGAATAGATGTATCTGCACCCGTGCAAGCGATTTTGAGCCATGTCATTCAAAGTCTCTCTAACCATCGATAACTATCGTCTCGCGGACCCTAACCAAGTAGTCTACAATTACCAACATGATTCAGGTTTTGGTTTGGCCACCCCTAGCTTTCTTCCAACCTATCCCTACACCACTGATAGGGATTGGTTTGGCAGAGGTCATACATATTCCAATCACTTCAACTGATAAAGATTCACTATTTCTCCAATTAATCTGTCATCCTTACCTAGTTGTATCTTTTTTTCTCAAACTCCAGCACTACTTATTTAGCAGTCCATAGGCACATCGAGCCACATTTAATATAAATTCAATGATTTATAAGATGCATAACAATTTCTTTTGAATATCCCTCTTTTTATTACTAATTAATGACGATGACCTGTGTGTGTGTGTCCCACCCGACTGAAGCTGTTACCTTGACGTGGTGGTCGTGCTTGCCTATCGTGATGACCTGACCGAGCTATATTGGCTGGAACATACGTTCCTGAAGATTCTACCATGCTAGGCCAGGTCGATTGGAGAATGATGAGACTAAAAGCAGCTACTCAAGGTCTGATGGCGAAGTCGTACTGCTGATTGACTGAAGAGGGTTGTGACAGCAGTAAGGTGTTTCCCTCGGACAACCAGCATCTGCAGCAATGCTGCCTTCTCACAAGGAAGGGAAGGGTTAGAAAAGGTCGACCCTAAATATGTCACACCTCACCCTACCTCACGGGTTTCCGTCTCCGGCGGTAAGAGTGTCAACTAAGGGCTTTCAAGAGCGGAGCTAATCCTCAAAAATCCTTTCACAAAATGGCCGTGCGTGACCGGCCTCAAGCAGTTGTCCTTTGGTCTCTGCGGTCACGCTCGCAGGTCGTTAAGACCAACACTAATCTATTTTCCTTTTCAGGTTCCTCTGGAAACAACCTTCCATGGTGTGGGCACCTGGGAATTGACAACCGCCCTCATCCCCATAACAGCATACCCGTGTGTCTCCCAACACTGTACACACTTTTTTCTTTCTCCCTTTTTTGTGTTTTTACTTTGAAAATTAGATCCTGACTGTAATGCAACATCAACCATTGGCAATGATGGTCACAGTGATCATGGCGATGACGATTCTACTGCTGCTGCTGCTAATCAACTAGTCGATACAAACAAATCGGAACTCACTACCTCCTTAATCAATGATTCATATCGTTCATTAACAAAACGTGAAGAAGATGATATTAAACAATTTTTAAATGAATTAAATGATCAATCCACATTGTTAAATGCTGCTCAATTAACTGAACGTTTACAAGAACAATTAGCTCATATTGAAGGTGTACGATAATTGATAGAGTAGTAGTAATAGTATTAGTAGTATTAGTAGTAGTACAGTGTTATTTGTAATTTTGTTCTCTGCTCTCACTTCTTCAAATGTTATATACTCTTTTTTTTTTTACGTGAAACATGGACACTAAGAAGCGAGAATATTCGTAGGTTACTAGTATTCGATCATAGGTGTCTATGAAGCATTGCTCGTTTATTGTGGGGCATTCGAGTAAGCAATGTTGGTGTTAGGAAAAGGGTGCAAGGTAAGGATGGCAGATCAGTAGATGAAGTGGTGAAACTTCGCCAGTTGAAGTGGTTGGGACATGGGTTGCGTATGTCCAACAACCGACTGCCTCGGTGAGCAAGACTGGAAGGAAGCTGGGGGTGGCCAAACCAAAACATGGCATAAATCCATGAAGTCACTGAAAACTCAGCTGAAACATGTTGGTAGACTACCTGGTTGGGATCCATGAGATGATGGTAACCGATGCTTAGAGAACTTGAATGACTTGACTTAAAATCGTATGCAATGACGCAGATGAATCCATTCTTTGTATTCTCTCAAATTCTGATCGTCTGGATTCCTCATGACCTTTTTCTCTCACTTTTTTTTTTAAAAAAATTCGATTCTTCTGGGATATACTTCTTGAATGATGTCTTCAAACCCTAATCTCTCTAATTACTGCTAATACGTTTACTACATCTATCACTGTGGAATTGGGATTGACATTTGCGTCTCTGTGTGCTAATATGGTTTGGTAACGTGAACCAATGTACGTACATACAAAGTTCTACGTTGTAGATGAGTGAATGACTAGCTGTCTGACTGGATAACGCATTGACATTTGAAGCAAACGGTGCTTGGTTCATGTTCCAGTGTGATGAGCATCAACACACATACTGGTTTCATCCAATTGGAAAGTCCCAAATAGTACAAACTGCTTGTCATATGAATTTCACTGATAGCTACTATCCATCTCTTAGTTATAAATAAGCATAAGTGTTGAGAATCTGCCGCCCACTACAACTAAGACTATACAGCTCCTAACTGAAATTTTCTCACGAAATGGCATACCAGATGTGATCGTATCTGACAATGGCTCTCAATTCACCACTTCCCAATTCCAGACTTTCTGTCAACGGCTAGCCATTAAACACTTACGCTCGCCACCATAACACCCACAATCGAATGGGCAGGCGGAAAGGTTTGTGGATACGTTGAAAACAGCATTAGTTGAGTCAAAAGGGGAAGGGGACACCAGCCGACGCGTTACAAAATTTCTTGTACGTCTATCGGACAACACCAAGTGGATTGTTACCGGAGCAAAAGTTCCCAGCAGAAATCCTGATGGGAAGAAGATCCACAGCTTGATGCATCCGACTAATGCACCCACATCAGTAGAGACAAAGCCGCAAAGACAATCCGCTTACGAAGTGGGATGCCCTGTGTTTGCCCGCGACTACAGAACGAACCATGGTCCTTGGGCAGAAGCGAAAGTGGTCAGAAGAGTTGGTCGAGTTATGTACGAAGTAGAGGTAGGAGGTGATAAATGGTCACGTCATCGCAATCAGATACGCAGACGGCTAGCCCCAGATCGCCCATCAAGAGCAGAAAGCCTTCCCCTTGACATCTTGCTTGATACCTTCAACCTACCGTGAGCCCCGCCACGAGAAGAAACGCAGCAGCAAGCTGTTCTTCGTTCCCGAAGGTATCCCCTCAGACAGCGGCGAACGACAGTCAGGATGCAAGTCGACCCCAGGAGCACACGCTATTAGAAAGGGGCTGAGTGTTGGGGATGTTAAATCCCCAAAACTCGCTTGATAAATGCCTTATTTTGGATTTCACGTTTGCGAGCATGGGCTGATCAGTTGACCTTGAGATTTCATTTCCCACTCGGAAAATCCACGGGTGTGATTGGCTGCTGTGTATTTTTTTGTGCTGTTTTCGTAACAGTCCCAAGGACGTTTCTATGATGTATAAATAAACGAGAGTTGTGTGCTTGATTGCATTATATTGTGATTGCTTGGTGTTTGTAGAATACGCTTACCAAGACTTCGGTCTTACAGTTTGGGATTCAAGTTAGCCTACCTGGACGTGCTGGTTCATTGTCTCGTTCGCATTTATCGACTAAGGTGAACTCGTAATAGCTTCAAGCATACCTATTGACGAACACTACACTATTTTATTTCCTTGTGTTAGTCTTCATTTCGCAATCATGATGTTTTATATTGTCTATGCTGTTAAATTGACTGGTTCATTTTAGTTTGATACATTCTGTGTTTATTGACTGTTTTTTCCTCTCTTCCTCTCTCTCTCTCTCTTTCAATTTAGATAAATGTTCATTCAATTATGTCATCGGAATCACAAGTCCTTAGTCTGATGACCACATTAGATAGTGCAATTGAACAAGCTGAATTATTAGAGAAACAAATGAATGTTTATTATAGTTTTTTAGAGGTTAGTTTTGATTTTTTTTATTTTTGTGTGTGCATGATAAAATCAAATGTTAGACTTTCTGTTGTAAAGAAATCTGATGGAAGTACTGGATGTCAGCTGTTTGGTCCTAGTGTGTATGGGACTCGTCGTCAGCAGTAGTGCGCCGACGACTACCGCTACTCCTAGGAACCGTACCCAAGACCTCCGGTCTCGCGCGCGAACCCTCGCTCTTTAGACCAGGAGTCGACCTTTTACCAGGTGGCTCGCTTACTGACCTAGAATATGCTGATGAAATAGTCCTACTTGATGAAGACGCTGACAAAATGCAGAGTCTTCTGACTACCATAAGCAACAATGCAAGCATGTTTAGGATGCAGTTCTCACCCTCGAAATGAAAAATGTTGCTTCAAGATTGGGTTTCATCGGCACCTGAACTAGTGATAGGCAGTGAAGTAATCGAACGTGTAGACCGCTTCACTTATCTTGGGAGTCTCATCAGTGCTGATGGCCTGGTGACTGACGAAATATCAGCACGGATACAGAAAGCTTGATTGGCTTTTGCCAACCTGCGTCACTTATGTCGTAGGCGAGATATCCGTTTGCTGACCAAAGGATGAGTGTAATGTGCAGTAGTTTGCTCCGTCTTACTTTATGGCTGTGAAACATGGCCAATGAGAGTAGAAGATCGTAGGTTACTGGTTTTCGATCATAGGTGTCTCCGAAGCATTGCTCGTATATCGTGGGACACCGAGTGAGCAACGCTGTTATTAGGAAGTGGGTGCTAGGTAAGAATGGCAGATCAATCGATGAAGTGGTGAAACTTCATCAGTTGAGGTGGTTGGGACATGTGTTGCGTATGCCTAACCACCGACTGCCTCGTCGAGCTTTGTTTTGTAGTGTAGGAGTAGATTGGAATAAAGTAAGGGGCGGCCAGTCCAAAGGATGTCACATATCTATGACGTCACTTACAAGTGGACTGAGGTATGTCGGTAATTGTCGACTACCTGGTTGGGGTCTAACTTTGATCAATCTAAGGGTCTTACGCAACCTGACCTTTTATCTTCGGTCGGTAACTGCCTACAGCCGACAGGTTTGGACTTCACTAGGCACACATTCTCACTAGAAGTCGAAGAAATTTCCTTACGACTCTAGTCACATTAGTGAGGACGATTCCGGTGGGTGGTAGTCGTCGACGCGGGCTGTTGATGAATCAATCCTATACCATGACAAAACGGCTGTCCAATGCTTCCAGGTTTCTAATGATGGTCTAACAATGATTTATTCGTGATATTTTTTTAAAAAATTTCCTGGTATTATTATTTATGTATTATGATAATTAGAAATGTCCTAAATGACAAATGTATATTATTGGTCAAGAAATGGATTCATTTTCTAAGGGGGAATAGATGTACCTATGTACAAATTAGTATTTGTGTTGTATATGATTCGCTAGTCAAATAGACTTTCTCTTCTACTCTTACGTTCTCACTGAAATAGTCAGTTTTTATGGAGTTCGTGTATATAACGTTCAAATCTAGGATACACCGCTCATCAAAACATAAATCAGTTAGTCATTCAGTTACAATGTAGAACTTGGCGCGTATGTACATCATTTCAAGTTGCCCAAACCACATTAGCACATTGTAGTAGAGAGGGTAGTAGAAGTGTGGTGCGAGCTACTTATAAGTAGTATATGACGTGAGTGTCAATGTAATGTCTGGCAGCCGAAGATGCGGGGGAAGATCAAGAAAGGAAGAGTTAGAACACAATGGAATTTGTATGAAACGCATGAATAGTGACAATGAATTGACGTTTTGCAACAGGAACAGTCCAGTTCGATATAGATGAACTGATATTTTGCAAATTAACCATTTACGATATGGTTTTCCAATTTTACTGAGTAACTCTGTAATTTTCGTTAAATACAATTCGGTTGCCCTCACCTGTGTTCTCCTTCACTACAGCAGTAATGTGGAAGATTAGAGTTTGAAGATATTCAAGAAGTATATCCCTATGTTATAAATTTAAAAAGAGACAAAGAAAGGTCATAAGGTATTCAGAAGAAGAATCTGCGCTATCGGAAACGTAACACATGTCTCAAGTACCTCAATTTATTAAGTTCTACTACTTCATCAATTGATCTGTCATCCTTATCTAGTAGTAACCTTTTTCTAACTCCAGCATTCGGTGGTCCAAGGATATTCAAGCAATGCATCTATGACACCGATAAACGAATACCAGTGACAAAAGGATATCCTCTATTCTTATTGGTCAACGGGAGGGGAACGAACTGCTGCGCAGTAGACTCGTCCTTTGGTTAGCAGACGGAGATGTTGCCTACGCCATAAGTGACGCAAGTTGGTAAAAGCCAATCGAGTCTTTTGTATCCGTGCTGAGATTTCGTCATACACCCAGCCGTCAGTACTGATGAGACTCTCAAAATAAGTGGAGCAGACAACTCGCTCAACTACTTCATTCCGGATGCAGTCTTGGATAACTCTGCTGGCTACAATCCATCTTCTCTATCCCATACACAGCAATAAATGTAGGTGTAGCAGTAGGAAAAGCTGGACCCTTACATACAGCACAACAAACATCAGCCAAATCAGTTGATGGAGAAGCTTTGAAAGAGGTAGAATCTTTTACGTAGCTGGGCAATCTCGTTGATGAACAAGGATAACCTTATACAGGATATGAAGACACGGCAAAAGAAAGCAAAGGCAACATTTATACAATTGATGAACATCTGGAAGTCAAAACAGTTGTTTGTCAACCGAAACCAAGGTCAGAGTTTTCAATACAAACATCAAGAGAGTTCTATTGTATGGAGTGGAAAGTTGGAGAACTACAAAAGCCATCATCCATAACAAGATAGAGGTGTTAGTTAACAGTTATCTACTCAAAATACTGCAGATTCGTTTGCCAGCCACTATCACCAATGATCTACTGAAGATAAATAGGACACACATTAGAGACATCATAAAACTGCCCGCCATCTTAAAACAACCTCTCATTTGGAATCTTGAATATGGATGGAAGAAATATGAGGAATCGAAGACACAGACATATGTAAGGCAGACAACAGCAATTGAAAACAACTAGGCAAGACAAACCTCCAGGTTAGTTTAGCTTACTGAGGTAATAATAACAGACATAAGTTAATCAATTAGTCATTCGTTCTATTCTATTCTACTTTGCTATCCATATATATTCAACGAATAATTCCCCCGACCCGGTAACCCTTTTTTTTTTTCCTAGGAAGTAGAAGATGCCATGTCTACACTACGTGATCATGATCAATTAATTCAGACAACAGTTGAAAATCGTGTAAATTTATTGAATATTTTAGAAAAACTTGTGGACCAATTAAATATTAATCCGAAACATTTACATTACTTGTTAGAAAGTGATTTAAATACTGCAGATGGTATAACGCATTGTATTGAAGCAGCTCAATATTTGGATCGTTTATTGAATACAGAATTTAAACAAGGTTAGTGTGTGTTGATTTGAGTTTGATGAGCTGTGTTTTGTAGTGTAGGAGGAGTAGGTTGGAAGAAGAAAGCTAGGGGCGGCCAAACCAAAACATGGCAGAAATCCATGAAGTCACACTGACAAGTGGACTGAGTCATGTTGGTAGATGTAGGCTATCTGGTTGGGGTCCGTGAGACGAAAGTCACCAATGGTTAGAGACCCTCAACGACATGGCTGAAAATCGTTTGCAGTGGTGCAAGTGCATCCATTCGTTGAGCTCTCTCAAATCCTAATCTTCTGGATTTGTCAACACCTCTACCTGTGTCTTTCTAATCTTATCTCACTGAATTATACTTCTTGAATAATATCTTCAAACCCTAGTCTTCTTCATAACCATCAATACCCCTACTATCTTTATCACTATGGTATTTGATTTGACATCTGCGTCTCTGTGCTAATGTGGTATGGCAACCTGAACTTATGTACATACGTACGGCGTTCTACGTTGCAACTGACTGACTGATTCGACTTAGGCATTAGAGTTTGATGGAGTTTATTTTACACATTGAAATTTTGAATGAATCATTGTTAGAAAGACCATCATTAGAGAGAAATCGGTTTAGGCACTGAAAGACAGTCGTTTCGTCCATTGGTATGGGACTGCTCGTCAGCCATGCGCATGCATGACTCCTACGACTACCAGGAATCAAACCCAGGTCCTTCGGTCTTGCACGCGAACGCCTAATCTCTGGCTCGCTGAACCGGCCAGCATCGAATGGTTTTAATTTCTAACTCTGATCAATCTAAGGATTTCGCACAACCTCAACCATTGTTTTCGGTATTTACTGCCCTACATCCGAACAGGGTTGAATTCCACTGGTTCTCGTCTTCTCATTAGAAGTCACTAGTGAAATTATTAATTGATGGGTTTCGGACTATGCTACCTGAAAACATTTGGATAGCTGTTTTGTCCTATATTATGGGGGATTCATCAGCAGATATGTTCAATCACTAATCTTTTTGATTATTGCTAATACTTCTACTACATCTATCGCTATGGGATTTGAATTGACAATTCGATCTCAGATGTACATACGTACGAAGTTCTACGTATCATGCAATGATATTACCCGACCATCATTCATTGTTTTCAATGAGTAACACTAACTGTATATGATAGAAGTATACGAGATAGATCACTCGAAGTGATCCAAGTTGAGTTGGGGAGCCTCGTGACCTCCGGAGGAACTCGGCTTCCATCATGAGACGTCATAGCTCTTCTGTATGAAGACCTTCCAACTCCCAGGGTAGAGTTTGAATAATTTTTACTGGTTAGCGTCTTTTAGCGAGTTAGTCTTTTTGTGGGATGGGGTCGTCAACTCCAATCCCAATCCTCCTCCTTCATTCGGTCTTGGGATCGGCAGTAGCCCTAGAGGGGCCAGAGGCGGAGTTTTATCTATATAATGTGACCGCTATCAATCAGGTGTGCCAAGATAGAGCTGTGTATTGTTTCTCTTTATCTGGTCTTTCTTAAACCATGCTTCAGGGTAACCACTCATTCCATTGGTTAAGTTGCCTGGCAACAGTACACCCAATAGAGATATCTACATGAGAGCAGCTGAATTTATAAATGCATTCACTTAGTTGTACCATATGTCTTCCACTTTGCTCCACTATTCACCATCCCATCGGGTAGTTGATTGGTGATCTGTATATGACATTTGTTGGCAGAACATGCTGACGAAGATATTCGTGGAGAAAGTAGAGTTGTTCTCGATTGGAAGCCTACCTTTTATCAAAATTCTTCCATTTTCGAACATTGAGAAGCGTGTCACGTTCATTTCATTTTGAGATGGTGTAGAAAATTTGCAGCTCAGGTGGTTGATTGTGGTGATGTTTCGTTATCTGAGCTGGATGTTTTGGTTGTGGAGAACAAACTTCTAACCGAAGTTTGTGCTGATGATGTTGTTCAGAAGATTTGATTGTGACCGATTTAATCTCATGTGCTGTTACGGGTATGAGGGCGGTTGTCACTTCCCGGCTGCCCACACCGTGGAAGGTTGTTTCTTGAGGAACCTGAAAAGGAAGGTGGAGTAGCGTTGGTTTTAACGACTAAATGACGAGTCTACTGCGCAGTAGTTCGCTCCTATATGGATGTGAAACATGGCCGGTAAGAATAGAAGATATTCGTAGGTTACTAGTATTTGATAATAGATGTCTTCGAAGCATTGCTCGTATACCGTGGGACGACCGAGTAAGCAACGCTATCGTTAGGAAACGAGTTCTAGGTAAGGATGGCAGATCAATTGATGAAGTATTTAATCTTCGTCAGTTGAGGTGCCTGGGACATGTGTTACGAATGCCCGACTACCGACTGCCTCGATGAACTTTGTTTTGTAGTGTAGGAGTAGGTTGGAATAAAGCTAGGGGCGGCCAAACCATAACATGGCAGAAATACATGAAGTCACTGACAAGTGGACTGAATCATGTTGTTAGATGTAGGCTACCTGTTTAGGGTCCGCGAGACGGAAGTCACCAATGGTTAGAGATGTTGAACGACATGGCTCAAAATCGTTTGCAGTGGCACAGGTGCATCCACTCTTTGTGTTCTCTCAAATCCTATTCTTCTGGATTAGTCAACACCACTTCCTTTGTCTTTCCAACCTTATCTCACTGAATTATACTTCTTGAATAATATCTTGGAACCCTAATCTTCTGCTTTACATTTAGTACTTCTGTCTTTACCACTGTGGGATTTGAATTGACAATTGCGTCTTTATGCTAACGTGGTATGGCAACATGAACTGACGTACGTACGTACAAAGTTCTACGTTGCAACTGACTGACTGATTGACTGTTCAGAAGAAGAACAATGAAAACTCCACAACTAAAACATACAGCTCAGTTGACAAAACACCACCACAATGCACATACTTCTTATTATGTGTAATTCTAATACCGTGTTTTTGTTTGACCTACTCATTTTCTTATTGTAAACTATTGATCAGTAGTTACTTAAATTTGTATTCTTCTCATCAGCACTACTTATTACACATGTATGTGTACCATACTACTAATGCACGTGTACTTTTACACATTATATGTGTAGTGATGGTGTGTTGTAATCTAATCTAATCAAGTATTTCACAAGTGTTTACAATAAATATTATTATTGATTTATCAGCTGATTTTAAAACTGGGTAAATGAAATTGTATTGAATGTGCACTATTGAAATGTAGTCAAAATGAGAAAAAAACACAAACTAAGGTACCTACATTATTGATTACCGATAGAATGAATGCTTAACTCAGCATGAAGTCCTTCTAGGGTTAGGGTTAGGCTCCCAAGCTCGGATAATGGGGTTAGCGACCCTATCCTGTAGAAATCCCAATCGCTTAAATTCAATGTTGAGCAGAAAAATTAATTTGTTGGTCTCGTTAGGTCCAGTGTTGATACGACTTTGGGGGATCGCAAGGTCAAAAGATGTTTTTCTTTATGCTTAAAGTTAGTGTTTGCTAAAAATAGCTGGTTATCTGAGCCTGGTTGCAACAGACGATCGCAATTATCTGTTCAATCGGACGCGACACCATAAGATCCACTCAGATGTCTTTCTTTTTCTTTGAGTCTACCTACTTGAGCATTAAAGTCATCAGCCATTATTACTATATCAGAGTGCCTAACCGTTCGGAGGAGGCTTGAAAGCTTTCTGTAAAATTCATCTCTCACCTTGTCTGCACTGAAGTCAGTGGTAGCGTAATCAGATACGTCGAAGCGGCAATGGTGAGTGTCCCTATCTTTCTGAGTCCTTAATGTCCCGTTTAGTCAGATAGCACATGAGTGGCTATCAACTGGGATCTAGTCTAGGAGCGCTAGTTCTGCCCTAGGACTCAATGTTATACCTACACCAGCGAGACCCCGGGCAGCAGCGTCGGGGCTTCCAGATGCACGAAGGGTAAATCGGGTTGCTTCTTTATCTTGAAATGGTGAGGTCAAGTAATGTCCGTACATTAAAAGTGCCGACATGTAGTTTAGAACGGGGTTTCAGGAGACCAGGAATAACGTTTCGTGAGCTCGCATCGTTTACATTAACGGTGGAGGTTGTTAGAGCTATTTGAGTAGGGTGAGACAGATGTCAGGGGGTGTAGTGAGGATTTGACTGCGACTAATTTGATCTCGTGTGCTGTTGCGGGTATGAGGGCGGATGTCACTACCATGATACTACATCTTTTCGCCTTACTTGACTGACTTGTGAATTATACTTGTAGGTCAAAAGTTTCAGGAGTGACTCCCTGATAAGATTACTTACTTCGGTTTGGATAACCGGACAAAACCCCAACTCACTTACAAAATCAATGAATTGTTTGGCGCCTAACTATTTAAATGTCCTGGTGTGGGACTCATTAGCAGTGCACTCTACTGACTAACTGCGTGAGGACATTCTTTGATTTTTGGTGAGATGTGAATAGTGGAGTTCAGCTTTATCGGGTGTAAGCAGTTACCTACCGAAGACATGGGTGATGTTGTGCTATATATTGGAATGATTGAATTTAGACATTAACATCGTTGAATGATGGCTCAGTGGTGTCGAGGTTTGATTCCTGCTAGTGGTGATTATGGGCACGCACTATTTATGAGTCTTATGTTAGAACGAAACTACTCTCCGGTACTTCCAGGTTTCTAATGGCGCTCGATTCATGATTTCAAATAAAGCTTAGCAATTTTCACAACCATTGAATGAAAATTATCATCAAACTAAATGATAACAGTTATCTTGTCATAAATAACTAGGTCGTATCATTGTCGATTAGAGAGTGGAATAAGCAGACTTCTTCCCTTTTTTATACGTTTCCATTAAAGTTCACAAAGTTTTGGGTCAAGTGTTAGCGAATATTACTTACTTACTTACACCTGTTACCCCCAATGGAGCATAGACCACCCACCAGTTTTATTCAACTAACTCTGTCCTGGACTTCCCTTTCTAGTTCTTTCCAGTTTTTGTTCATTCTTTTCATGTCTTTCTCTATTTCTCGGCGTAATCTGTTCCTTGGCCTTCCTCTTTTCCGCTAACCTTGAGGTTTCCCTGTGAGGGCTTGTCTTGTGAAGCAGTTGGGTGCTTTTTATAATGTGTGTCCTATCCACTTCCACTGATTCTTCCTGATTTCCTCGTCCACTTGCATCTGGTTTGTTCTCTCCCACAGTTCATTGTTGCTGATGGTGTCTGGCCAACGAATCCGAAGTATTTTGCGAAGACAACTGGTAATGAACACTTATATCTTCTGGATGATCGTTTTGGTAGTTCTCCAAGTCTCCGCTCCATACAGTGGAACTGTCTAGACATTTGTAGTGAAAATCCTGATTTTGGTTTTGGTTGAAAGTTGTTTGGAGTTCCAGATATATTTCAGTTGTAGAAATGCAACCCTTGCTTTGCCAATCCGCGCCTCCCACATCTGCATCGGATCGTTAACGAGCATAGTATTTTGCAATTACATTCATTATGATATAAATTACTCACTTACTTACAGCTGTTACCCCCAAAATGCAGCATAGACCACCGACTAGCATTGTTGAACCCTAACTTTGTCCTAGACCTTTTTTCCCAGTTCTACTTAATTGCGCTATTCATTCTTCTCATGTCTGTTTGTAATTCTTGTCACAGTGTGTGTTCTTTTTGATTTCGCCTTGAGGGTTTTCTAGGTGAGGGCTTTCCTCAGTCAGGTACAACGTAGAACTTCGTAGGTAGGTACATCAGTCCAGGCTGGCATAACTCATTAGCACAAAGATGCAGTTGTTAACTCAAATCCCATATTAGTAGAGGTAGCAGAACAATTAGAGTTAATGGAGAAGATTAAGATTCGAAAATGTTATTCAAGAAGTGTAATTCAGTGTAATAAGTTTGAGAAGAGAAAGTTAGACGTAAGAAAAAATTCAGAAGACTAGAGTTTAAAGATAACACAGTGACTAGATTCGCTTGCTCCATCGCAAACGATTTTGATCCATGTCATTCACGGCCTCTAATCATCGGTTAATGTCATCTCGCGGACTCCAAGCAGGTAGTCTACTCTTACCAATATGACTCAATTCACTTGTCATTGACTTCATGAATTTTTGTCATGTTTTGTTTTGGTCATCCCTAGCTTTCTTTCAGCCTACTCTTACACCAGACATCATCGCTCACCGAGGCAGTCGGTTGGTTGAGCCATCTTTATATATTTGAAACCATGAATCGATCAATGTTAGACCACCATTAGAAACCTGGAAGCACTGGACGGCCGTTTCGTCCTGGTATAGGACTCCTCATTGATCGATTCATGGTTTTAAATAAAACTTAACAATCTTCACAACAACCCCGTAATTCAAATTACCTGTGCTTACTAGTGACGACTGACTTGGTGAGGAATCTTCTCCGAGTTCTATTGGGAAGACGTGACCAGTGAAGTTCAACCTGTTCGGGTGTAGACAGTAACTACCGAAGACTGTGTATCAGGTTGCGCAATTCCGTGAATTGATCAAGTTAGTCATTAACACCGTTGGATACCGGCTCAGTGGTCGGATTGTTAGGCGTTCGCCTACAATACCGAAGGTCCTGGATCCGAATCCTCCTGGGTGCAGGAGTCGTGGATGCGCACTGTCACTGAGGAGTCCCATACCAGGACAAAACGGCCGTCTTTCAGTGCTTCTTCCAGGTTTCTAATGGTGTGGTCTAACATTGATCGATTCATGGTTTCAAATAAAACTTAACAATCTTCACAACAACCCCGTAATGCATCTTTATATAATGAACAAAATAGGCTAACAAAAATTCTTTTCCCTTATTGATTGGTTAATTTATTTGTCTCTCTCTCTCTCTGTGTCCCTCATAGGTGAAGATCATCTTCAAGCGGTAGATGAACGAATGGAAGAATTGAAAAAACTACGTGATACATTTGCTATTAAATTGTCGGGTTACATTAATGACACCATGTTACGTTATGCTAGTCAATTAGGCTTTATAGTGAATACTGGGATTAATATGCCTATAACGGAGACGACAACCACAACCACAACACCAGGCACGACAGCAACAACAACAGCCACAGCAAACATGTCCACATTATCCACCAATCAGTTAACAGGTAGTGGAGGTGGCGCAAGCAGGAAAACATCAATGATCATTCCGAATTCATTCAATGTTGCCTCGGATTTATATGCTGTACAACGAACGGATTTGTTGCAATTAACACCATTAATTGGTCATTGGTTACAAGCGAATAGAAAAGATTTATATATTGGAATTAAAAGGGTAATTCACATGTGCGTGTGTGTGTGTGTGTGTGTGAGTGTGTGTTGTATTAAGTTTATTTCGAAAATGCCTTTGATACGGCTGATATAGTGTGTGTGGAGAGAGAGGGAGTTTGTTCTCCCGATTGAATTGCTCTCACAGAGTCATGCGTATTTGTCTCTTGTTACGGTTGTGGTGTGAGCTACTTATAAGTAGTATATGACTTGAGTGTCGACGTAATGTCTGGCAGCCGAAGATGGGGAAGATCAAGAAAGGTAGAGTGAGGGGAACACAATGGAATTTGTATGAAACGCATGAACAGTGACATTGGATTGATGTTTTGTAACAGGAACAGTCCAGTTCGATATGATGGACTGATATTTTGCAAATTAACGATTTACGATATATATGGTTATCGGATTTTACTGAGTAACTCTGTAATTTCTCGTTAAATACAATTTGGTTGCCCCCACCTGTGTTCTCCTTCACTACACGGTAGTCCTCCAACGTCGGAATTTTCAATACAAATGTCAAGCCGAGTTCTACTACTGTATGGAGCGGAAAGTTGGAGAACTATGAAAGTTCGCGATGGTTAGAGATCTTGATTGATATGGCTGGAAACCGTTTTGCAATGGCACAGGTGTATTTAATCTTTGTGTTGTATGAAATTCTAACTTTCGGAATTCCTCATCATCTGTAACTTTCTTTTTTTCGAAATTTACTTCACTGAATTATACTTCTTGTATAAGTAACATCTTCGAACCGTAATCTCTCCGATTAGTGCTAATACCTTTGCTACCTCTACTACTATGGGATTTGAATTGACAACGATAACTCTGTGCTTATGTGGTATGGGAACTTAAACTGATGAACTTACGTGCAAAGTTCTACGTTGCCGTTAATGATGATGATGAAAGTCATCAGGCAGAAGATGTAAGTGTCTTTATTAACAGTCGTCTGCGCACAATACTTCGGACTTAGAATATGCCGATGACATAGTCCTACTTGGTGAAGATGCTGACAAAATGCAGAGTCTTCTGACTACCCTAAGCAACAATGCTAGCATGTTCGGGATGCGGTTTTCCCCCTCGAACTGCAAAATGTTGCTTCAAGACTGGGTTGCATTGGCACCTGAACTAGTGATAGGGAGTGAAGTAGTCGAACGTGTAGATCACTTCACTTATCTGGGGAGTCTCATCAGTGCCGATGGCCTGGTGATTGACGAAATCTCAGCTCGGATACAGAAGGCTCGATTAGCTTTTGCCAACCTGCGTCACTTATGTCGTAGGCGAGATATCTGTTCGTTAACCAAAGGACGAGTGTACTGTGCAGCAGTTCGCTCCGTTCTCCTATATGGCTGTGAAACATGGCCAGTGAGAGTAGAAGATATTCGTAGGTTATTGGTTTTCGATCATAAGTGTCTTCGAAGCATTGCTCGTATATCGTGGGACACCCGAGTGAGCAACGCTGTTATTAGGAATCGGGTGCTAGGTAAGAATGTCAGATCAATAGATGAAGTAATGAAACTTCATCAGTTGAGGTGGTTGGGACATGTTCTACGTATGCCTTACTACCGACTGCCTCGACAAGCTATGTTTTGTAGTGTAGGAATAGGTTGGAAGAAAGTTGGGGGCGGCCAGACCAAAGCGTAGCAGAAATCCATGGAACCACCGACAAGTTGACTGAGACATGTCGGTAATTGCCGACTACCTGTTTGGGATCCGCGAGATGATAATAATCGATGGTTAGATACCCTGAATGACATGACTCAAAATCGTTCGCAATGGCGCGTGTGCATTTATTCTTTGTGTTCTCTCAAATCCTAATCTTCTGGATTCTTCAACCCCTCTAGTTTTGACTTTCTAACCTTTTCTCACTGAATCATACTTCTTGAATAGTATCTTTTAATCCTAACCTCTCCGATTACTTCTAATTCCCTTACTACCTCTTCTACCATTGGATTTGAATTAACGATTACTTCTCTGTGCTGATGTGGTATGGCAACATGAACTGATGTACTTATGTACAAAGTTCTACGTTGCATCTGAATGACTGACTGACTGAATGCTTGTGTTTTAATCATAGCCTGTAATTTATACTACTTACATTAATGGTTTTAGTAGTCTATAATTTAATTTGAAATAGTTTGATCAGTCTTGTCTAGTATGTGAACATCTTGTGCGGATTGTTTCGATGTAGCCATTGTAACTACTAACAACTAACTACATTCTATCAGGATAATTCAAAATCATTTCAAGTCGAAATTAAATTTTCATAATCGTTGCACAAGTCGAGTGGTGTCACTATCTGGACTTAGTGCTTAAGTTGATAACGCTGTTGCAGTTTGAAGCTAACGGTGCTGAGTTCAAATCTTGCAGTGAATAATAACTCTGAGGTGTGTGGCAAGGTACATCCAACTGATGAGCCGTAACTCTGAGGTGTGGTAAGGTACATCCATCTGATGAGCCGTAACTCTGACGTGTGGTAAGGTAAATCAAGCTGATGAACCGTAACTCTGAGATGTGGTAAGGTAAATCAAGTTGATGAGCCGTAACTCTGAGGTGTGGCAACGTACATCCAGCTGATGAGCCGATAGCTGATAGGGTTAATCTATAACTGGAATCGACCCACGATAGTGCATATAATCATTATCCATTGTATTCAATGGATAACTACCTCACGTCTAACACAGTTGAATTCTACTTGTCATAGCTTCTCAAAAAAAACTCCGAGAATTCCCTCACTCATCTAGTCATTAGTGAGTACATGGTGATTTTCGGTATAATGATTGTCGAGATTGTTGAGTTTCATTGATATTGTTATAATGCTCGAATTTCTCCCTACACAGCCAACTCTGATCAAGATCACATGATAAGCCTCAGAATGTGTGCGTGTGTGTATTAATCAGTAACCTACAATCGGTAATATATATTATTACAAAGGGTAAGGGGAAGAATATATGTGTCACCTCAAATACCTGTCAGATTATCTACCAATCTGTTTAGGCTAGTAATCAGTCACGGTTTTCCTTTGCTCACATAGAAATCGCTATGAGACTGCCATAGAAAACCTGGATGCATAGGACAGCTGTTTACAATTGATCGATCACTTATGCCTGTTACCCCTGCGATCTGTTCTTTTCTGTGGTCTTCCTTTCCAATTGTCTCTATTTACTTACTTACTTACGCCTGTTACCCCCATTGGAGCATAGGCCGCCCACCAGTTTTCTCCAACCAACTCTGTCCTGGGCTTCCCTCTCCAATTCTGTCCAATGTTTGTTCATTCTTCTCATACCTTTCTCTATTTCTCGGAGTAATGTGTTCCTTGGCCTTCCTCTTTTCTTGTTGCCTTGAGGGTTCCATGTGAGGACTTGTCTCGTGACGCAGTTAGGTGCTTTCCGTAGTGTGTGTCCTATCCACTTCTACCACTTCTTACTCATTTCCTCCTCCACTGAAATCTGATTAGTTCTCTCCCACAGTACGTTGTTGCTGATAGTAACTGGCCAACGAATCCGAAGTATTTCGCGTAGGCAATTGTTAATGAATACTTGTATCTTCTGGATGATGGCTTTCGTAGTTCTCCAAGTTTCCACTCCATACAGTAGAGCTGTCTTGACATTTGTATTGAAAATCCTGATTTTGGTTTTGGCTGAAAGTTGTTTGCAGTTCCAGATATTTTTCAAATGTAGAAACGCAGACCTTGCTTTGCCAATCCGCGCACTCACATCTGCATCGGGTCCACCTTGGTTGTCGATGATGCTGCCCAGATATGTAAAGGTGTCAACGTCCTCGAAGGCCTGTCCATCAAGAGTGATTTGTTTGGTGCATGTTGTGTTGCATCGGAGAATTTTGCTTTTTCCTTTTTGTGTTTTGAGACCTACTGCTGCAGAGGCTGCTGCTACACTGGTCGTCTTCTCTTGCATTTATTGTTGCGTGTGAGATAGAATAACCAAGTCATCTGCGAAGTCTAGATCGTCCAGCTGGGTCCTAACTGTCCAGTTGATACCGTGCTTCCCTCTAGATGTTGACGTTTTCATAATCCAGTCGATGACCAGGAGAAAGAGAAAGGGTGATAGTAAGCAACCTTGCCTGACACCGGTCTTCACCTCGAAAGAGTCTGTCAGCTGTCCTTCGTGTACGATTTTGCAGTTGAATCCATCATTGTCTCCATTTACTAGTCATTATTTCGATGTTATCGTTCTGCGATTCCAAGCTCAGTTGGTTCTTTGGTCTTGAGTAATCCGAATTAAAGGGTTTGCCCTGTGACGCCATTTGATTGATACCCTCTCCGCCTATAGCGTTCTCAATTTCTTCCTTAGTTGTTATGCGGTTTGCTCTGTCTACCATAGTTGGTTGTTGTTGCTGATGCTGATGATGTCTGTCCAACAGATTGGGAGTTTATGATTCAGACAAGTTGTTCTAAATGAATAAGGATTACAGAAGTAGTTATATGTGATATATAAGTCAAGTCAAACCCACATGGAATGTAGAATGTGTACATATAATCTTCAATCCTTCATTTACAATTCAAGCAGGTTATTGACTTTCATCTTTGTCACATCTCTTCTGGTCTTCAATATATTCGATCTCCAGACCCACTCTTTCTTTCTCTCTCTTGTAGCAACATCTAAGCGAAGCTTGGTTGCATACTACTTGTTACCTAGTTTGTGAGTAGTATCTATTCACAGTTAAGAATTGTCCATATTTTTATCAAAATTTATGACAAATTATACAATTCTATACTTTTTTTAAAAATATTTTACTTAGATGTATATACAAAAATCACAGAATTTTTTCAAACGACAAATACAAGAAGTTATCAAATGTACACAAGACTCCATAGCTAATCTTGTACGACCGGGAAAATGTAAGTTTTTTTATATATTTTGTGTTCCGTATAAATCAATAAATTTGTATGTAGGCTTGAAATATAGTCGAGGTGCCCGAACCTAAGCAGATGGACCACTTTCTGGTTACTTTGACTTAAAAGTTTGACTCACAAGTTAGTGTAGTAACGTCATGATAGGTAGGTAGTAGTACGATGGTAACCGGTGACGGACATTGACGATAAACACTTTTAGTATCTTCAGTTCTAGTGCACTACTCGTTTGGAATGAGGCTTTTATAGTAGTGCTCTAGATCGGTTCTTTGCTAGTAGATATATCTTCCAAAACACCAGACGTTCGATTTTCACCCTCTCATTTTAGTAGGCAACAACACAGTCTCGAGAAGGTAGTGAAATCAGAATCTCCCCATTTTCGGTCAGACCAGTCACCAGTCAATGACTTTCCCCTTGATATCCTAACCCTTAACTTAGGTATTAATTCTGAAAGCAGTCAGTCAGTTGCAACGTAAGAACTTCGTACGTATGTATATAAGTTCATGTTGCCATACCACATGAACACAGAGACGCAAATGTCAAATCAAATCCCATAGTGATAAAGATAGTAGAGATATTAATGGTAATGAAGAAGACTAGGGTTTGAAGATATTATTCAAGAAGTATAATTCAGTGAGACAAGGTTAGAAAGACAAAGGTAGAAGTGCTGACGATTCCAGAAGATAAGGACTTGAGAGAGCACAACGAATGGATGCACTTGCGCCATTGCAAACGATTTTGAGCCATGTCATTCAAGGTCTCTAACCATTGATGACTTTCGTCTCACAGACCCTAAACAGGTAGCCTACATCTAACAACATGACTCACTCCACTTGTCAGTGACTTCATGCACTAGTGTCATGTTTTGATTTGGCCGCCCCTAACTTTCTTCCAACCTACTCCTACACTACAAGTCCAAGGCATGTCGAGGCAGTCGGTGGTTAGCCCTACGTAACACATGTGCCGACCACCTCAACTGTTGAAGTTTTCATTACTTCATCTATTGATCTACCATTCTTACCCAGCACCCGTTTCCTAATAACAGAGTTGCTCACTTGGGTGTCTCACGATATACGAGCAATGCTTCGAAGACATCTATGATCGAAAACCAATAACCGACGAATATCTTCTACTCTGACTGGCCATGTTTCACAGCCATAAAGTAAGACGGAGCGAACTACTGCACAGTACACCCGTCCTTTGGTTAACGAACGGATATTTCGCCTCCTCCATAGGTGAAGAACCGTGGCAAAAGCTAATCGAGCTTTCTGTATCCGCGGCGAGATTTCGTCAGTCACCAGGGCATAGTCACTGATGAGACTCCGGAGATAAGTGAAGCGGTCTACACGCTCGACTACTTCATTCCCTATCACTAGTTCAGGTGCCGATGAAACCCAATCTTGAAGTAACATTTTTCATTTCGAGGGGGAAAACCGCATCCCGAACATGCTCGCATTGTTGCTTAGGGTAGTCAGAAGACTCTGCATTTTGTCAGCGTCTTCACCGAATAGAACTATGTCATCGGCATATTCATGATGCTATAAACTTCACTTCTTCTTCTACTTAATAAATCAGATACATTGGCATCATTTAAATTCAATATCTGTGAACATGAACTGTGCCATTGGTGATAACCTTTGTTTTAACGATTCAAATGCACAAGATTGGATTATTTGATTTACGAAATCTCTAATTTTATTGATTTTATTTTATTTTTCTCTGTATTTTTAGCTAAAGAAATTCAACGTTTGGAAAATATACCATCAGATGTTGGAAGTGTTATGTCATTGCATAATTTAGATACAAATTTGTTAACTCAAGTTGAATCGGTAAGACAACTGATTTTTCTAAGTGTTATTTAAATGTCTACTTTAATCTATTTGAGTAGTAGAGTTTGATTTAGCGAATTTTGTTTTTGAGTAATCATGTAATTGAAAGCTTCAATTTATTCGTTGAGATTGTATTGTAGAGTTCCTTTTCAATCGAAATGTTCCATCAATAGAATTTAACAACCGTTGTTATTTGTCAGTGATACCTGCTATGTGCTATGTTATGCAAAGAGTGAGTGTAGTGCGCTCACTTTCTTTTGAAATACTCTCACATGACTATGTGTGTATAGCCACTGTCTTGGAAGTTCTACTTACTGCTTTCTCGTGTGGCCCGGGTTTTGTTTATAAAATTTAGAGGACAAAAAGTGAACGTCCAACTAGGGCGTAAACCAGTTGGTGAATATGGGTCGTTGAAAAATCCCTGATTCTAAACCAATGCATATGAGCCTTAAGATCGTGTGACAGAACAAATGATGTATGGACCTATCGTTGGTCGCCGTCCACGATGAGACTGCTGCTTTTGATGTTGCTACACTGCTTTGTGAATCGGTATTTTGGTCAAAGGTTTTGTGATAGGCTTTACAAAACCACCTATTCGGGTTTAGGCATGTCTATGATAAAATTAAACAAGAATGGAGAAAGTGGACATCCCTGACGGACACCACTTGAAGTGAAGAATTCTGATGACAGTTCGCCATAAGCTCTCACTCGACCAGTGGTGTTCGATTAGAGAGCTTGTATGAGGTTAATGTACTTCTGTGGTACACCTTTCAATGACAGACACTGCCACAGAACCTCACGATCCACAGAGTCGAATTCCGCCTTAAGGTCCAGGAAGACAACTATTGTAGGACGCCTAATTGTGTGTCTATGTTCCAGGACCTGACGTAGTGTGAAAATGTGGTCTTTGGTTATATTTTAGCTTTATCAACTGAGATGGAGACTGGGTTCGAATCCCCCGTTGGTGAACATCAACTCTAAGCTGTAGGTTAATCCAACTAAAGTCGAATCCTCAATCAGGTAGGCCGCAATACGCATCCTCGGATTACACTGTCTTAGCAACTATTCAACTCTTCATTTGAAACAAATGTAGTTTCGCAACTTAAAATGATGTACGTACTCACCAAGTTGTACGTTGTTGTTGATTGACTAAATGGCATGCGTAACTGGGAAGATAAAAAATGCTCTCAAACTTTAACAACTTCTAATACAATGTTGTTCACGAAACTACACTCCAAACGTTTTGTTGTATCGATTGATTTGTAGTGGTTGTTTGATTTCTCCCATTAATGTTTAAGACTGTAATTATCTTTAAGTTATATGTAGGGATTATCAAGTGACATGGAGATTAGGTTCGAATCCCCCGTAGTCAACATCAACCCAGTCCCGGATCTCTTGTCCAGGATCCTGATTCCCTTCTGGACTCGGACCTCGTACTTTCTGAATGCTTGTAGAATACAAGTTCTACTTCATGCCAAGTCTTGTCTTATTTTTACTCAATATGAGGGTTGGGATAATCGGGATGGTGGAGAAAATTTGGAGCTCAGGTGAATGATTGTGGTGGTGTTTCGTTCTCTGAGCTGGGTGTTTTGGTTGTGGAGCTTTCATTGTTCTTCTGAACACAACATCATCAGCACAAACTTCAGATAGCAGAAGTGAAGTATTCGAATTTCTGTACACGTTTGACCTGTAGCTTGTTCTGCTAAACTCGATCTTGATTGGTTGCTGTTGACCTTTGACCTGTCGTTGTTTGCAACTTTTTTTTGATTGCTTCCCCCTTTTTGAGTAGCATGTCGTGTCGCTAGATCCTCGATCCTCGCTCTCGTTTTCCGACTAAGGCAAACTCGTAATAGTTCAAGTATATCAAGTTGACGTGTTTACGTGCAGGTGTAACAACCAACACTGTATCAGCCACTATTCATCAACTCTGCATGTTCAATCATAATTCATAATAATTACAAATCTAAAAACCTAATGTAAATCAACTTCATTTCAAACAAATAACCGTTTATATTTATGTTTCCTCTTTTCTCACACACACACATACACACTG